ATTTCCCTCCTCAATGCTCTTACACAAAACCTCTTCCAGCTAAATTCCTTCCAGACTTCGAAAGGCATAGCAAGTTTCTAGAAGGCCCAGAAGGGAAGAAGAAAAAGGCACAAAATCTGCATTACTGTCATGAAGCAAAGTGCACTTTTTAAAAAAAACCAACCAAACAACAAACAGGAATCGAAGAAAGAGGATTAGTAGCAGAAGGCACCTCTATCAGAACACACTTACTTACATGGTAGATCCTCTCCTCCTGACTGATCTAGTGTTGGAAAAATGCTAAAAACCATTTTACCAGAGACAAAGCCAACTCACACCTCTTTCTTTCTTTCAACGTGTGTATCACAGAAATTTTTAACTAATGTATTCCACTGAAATAAAATTAAATGCTATTCAAGTGAACAAAAGTAAAAGATGGAGAACCGACACAAAACCAGTGATGTAGACATTTACAGCAATCATAGGACCATTCAATAATTTTGATTTGCTATACAATGTTATTTCCTGCCCTGAAATTACAGTTGGTCTTCAATAGAAAAGCACTGAATTCAGCCTGTACACTCAGCAAGCTCACTCACAGATGATGACAAGTAGGCAGTGGTGTTATTGCAGGAAAATGTGGGAAATCATGTACAACAAAAGGGCAAGTAACCTTTTCAAGCCTTTTTGTTTTGGTACATAGATGGCATCCTCTTCCCTGATTCTGGAGGGTACAAACAAAGCTGTTCTATCTTCAATCATTAGTATGCACAGATCTCGGAGTCTGCTGCTTTTGTGACAGCTGTGATAGAAATGTAAATTTATAAAGACACATACTTTCCCGAGTAAGAATCTGCACAATGCATTTACAATACTACAATCTCAGTCTCAGACTACAACTTACACATTCATTTCATAAAAGAAAACATCACTGAAAACAACAAGTGGTAGCAAGGTGTCTTTACTCCCGACTCTTAAGAAAAGCAAATGAAGAGGTGCAGGGAGACCAAGCTTTCTAGGTTCATGAATTAGAAGCCTGCAAAAATATAATACAAACTTCTTGTTCCTAAGCAGTAAGTTATGTTCATCCAGTATTGTGCACCTAAGCACTTGGCTGTCTGAGGATCGCCACACCACCGCATGAGACAAAGAGATCTGACATCTGGCAAGTTGGTTCACTTTGCTGTTTCTTTCTTCTTCGACTGCAGATGTTTCCATGAACAGAGAGATGCTAAGCAATTCAAAGAGCCAAATCCTGCTCTCCATTACTCAGATTCAATCCAAGAACCACCAACATAACTTAAAGCATTAGCACTTTCCCCACTGCCACCCTTCATAAAATTAATTTTAGAAAAGTCGTAATAATCCCTTACCCTAATTGCTGCAAAAGCAGTGATCACATAGTTGTGTCTTCTCAACTGAAATATGGTCAGTTCTCCAACAGGGAAGAATAAAAGCCTTAATGCTGTGAAAGGTTTGCTCGCTACAACTTCAATGCTACATAGCAGCCATGTGCTACAAACTCCTTATCTCTTAAGGACTTGAAAGATTTGCATCATCTTTGGCTCCCCCATTAAGCTCCAAGCTCTCTAAATACTTTAGGAAGAAATGGGCATTTGTAATTATTAAACATGAGCTAGAATTCCAGCAATAAATTTTCACAGAGTAAAAAAACCCAACAACAACAAAACTCCAGCAAAAAACAAACAAACAAAACAAACCAACCCCAAACCAACCACAAAACCACAAACAAAACCGTTCCTTCACTCACACTGGGCATTCTCTCATTTGAAAGCCTCAAATTCACCTCCTATTGTCCCCAGACTGTGTTATCTGTCCCTCACATATATAAGAGAAGTGTCAATAGGCAAACCACTCTAGATCCAAAAGAGCTCTTTGTTAACCCTTCTACCACTTAAAACCCTAATAACACTTTCAAATTTCCTACTATATAAAGATGCACCTTCTGCTGAACTAACTAGGTTTGAAGTTACAAGAATTCTACATGTATTCAGGCAAAACACTCCCCTGAATTCTAATAGCTAATATAATATAATATAATATAAATCAGAAATATGTCAACTCCAAATAAATTCTAACTTAGTGAATTAAGTTTTAGTTTGAAGGAAAACAGGTAGCTTGAATGTAACAGCCAGTAAGTTAGATGCTGATACTAGAGATTATTTTTGAAATTTAAAGTACTTTAAGAGCTTTTTTATGCAGCACTTCCAACAATGTCCATGAAAAAGACAAATCAGTGAAATGGAAACATTCCAAACCCAAACAAGAGCTTACCATACCCAATGATGAGGGAAGCAGGAAAGTGTAAAGCAGTAACAAGACGTAGCAGATTCCTATTCCTGTGAGCACTTTCATTATTCCAGAAGAGCTGGAATAAAGTCCCTTTGAAAGCTTTTGACAGCCATCAATGAATACATTTGATCCAAAAACACATTTGACATCAAAAGTTAGGAAGACAATTTATTACATATTATTTTCATCATGTAAGTTCATTCTTCTACATTTTAAGATGTACAACAAAAATAAAAAACCCCATTTTCTTCCACTTTTATTCTACAATAGAAAGTTTAGAACTTTTGGTTGCTTTCCATATAATGGAAAACTATGCTAAATTCTCAGTCTTTTGGTGAAACAAGCCTGTTTTGACAGAAGATGGACTGATTTGTTGCTCAAGACACATTAGGAAGCACTTCATCGCTACTTATTTGGTAAAATAAGAGTTAAATTATCTCTTTTCTTTTAGGGACATTGTTTATCTTCAGCCACAGGCTTTCAAAAATATCTAGGATTGTTCTGCTGTAGCCTGATCCTTGGCAGTTAGAACCAGCTCCATAAGGGCTGAAAAGCTTTTTATGCTGCTTGTTTCCAGTCCCATCTTTCGTATCTAAAAAAGACACAGAAGAAAAATGAATTTTTTTTAAAACATGAAAACTCATTCATTATTCTACTTAAAAGATTTAGGAAAGCATATGTTTTGACCTGCATCGATGTGCAGCAAAAAACCACAACTGCATACAGTGCACACTATTAATAAATAAATAAATAAATCTGTATCCAACTTTGCTCAGTTAAGTCTTTCCAGTTAATGAAGTGTCTTGCAGGAAAATATTTAACCATCTTCTAGGCAACTTGTAACTAAAGCCAGTTGGAAGTCCTCCAATGAAACCATCAGAAACTTGGCTGTAAGTTTGTTTTTAATGCATTGATTTCAACCGTAATTTTTTCAAACCCCAAATTAGGTTTCTGGGCAAAACTTTAAAGATAAACATGAATACATCCAAAAACAGCCAACAACATGATGATGAAAGCATTTCAATAGGCTGCAAGAGCCTATGGTTCTAGCCTCCAACTTCCTGGGGCATCAAAACAACTCTACAAATAGAGAGTTTGCTACAAGTCATTTCTTACCCAGGAAATCTATTGCTCTGACAATCAGAAAATTATAGCCATGAGAAAACTAAGAGTGCACTGAAAAGGAGAAAAACTGGATCTAAATAAAACCATAATGAAATTATTCTGAAAAAGTGTTTGCTGCTGGAACTCACTGTAATGTCCACATGTACCAAAACAGCTCCTAAATGATTACAAATAATCTACCACAGTTCAGCTTAAATTTACATTGCAGCGATGTTAGCACATGTAATAGGAATAAAAGAACAAAAGCCCAACCCCAGTCAAAAACTGCGTAATAACAGTTCTTGTTAGCAAGATTTCCAGACTTCCACCCAAATCTTCTTCCTCTGTGACAATTCTCAGATATGGGAAAGCCTATGCTCACACGCAGACAGACTTTACCTACTTGTTATAATGCATTGACAACACCTGCTGAAAAACAAGACTGATGATGACTGCTTGGCAACTAATGACACAGAGTTGCACTTGAAAGTTCATTTATTTCTATATATAATTTTCAGAAATAAATGAGTACAAAACAGTATGCTTATACAATTTGAGGTAGCTACTGCACATATTTCCTGGAATATTTTCTTCTTTTATCTTTTTTGTTATTTAAGGTTTCATATTTGGCACTGAAAGGAACTTACAGTTATGCAGGACAACAAATAAGGTAACATCTTCAAAGCTCTTGGGACTAGACCCTTGACCATGTAGTAGGTCAAGCCTGGAAGTATCCAGAGACAAGGCAAACAAACGCAGAGTCGTAAAGGTGTTTCCATCAGAGCTAAGGAAAGTCCCTGCCCTCTGATCAAGAAGCAAAGTGTTTCTTCTTTGTGCTTCTAAGCACTAAGCAGTACTTGTATTTTGAATAGTAAGAAATATAAGTTTTGCCTTTGTATAAGAAAGGACAGGAAAGCATGCATTGCTCAAGTGATATCTACAATCCCCAAGGTCTCAAGTCACCTCCATTATACAGATGTGAAAAAACAAAGGAAAAACCCCCCAAAACCAAAAATAGTGATAAAGCTTTCAAGCCTAAAAAACTAAGTCAAGCTTCCCTCTCCTTCTCTATCTCACTCCTTTCCAAAATCAGTAATAACAGTAAAACTTGTTTCTCATAACTTACTTGTTCTCCAAAATACTCAACATCTAGGGCCAGCTGCAGTCGGATTTTGTTATCATCACTCATGCCCCCATTTGTACCAACAGGGTTTGAAGTTGCAGTTCTTCTGGCTTGCTTCAACCTTTTAAGGCTCTCTTCCATTTTCTTAACAGAACTTAGTACATCAGATACAGTTTCATAATACCTAAATTAAGGAAGGTTAATGATAAAGAAAAAAATTACACTTTTACAGAAAAGCCTACTTCATATACATCAGCACATCACTGGCCCCGAGAAAAACGTTGACAATGCTGGGAGGAATGTTTTAACTTGTCAGGAAGGTACTTATTTTTTTTTAATCAATTAATTAGTATTTCCATCATTAGTTCTAGAGGTCAATGTGAAGATTGCCATTCAGAGTTGAAGCCTCCTTATCATCACAACATTTTTGACATGTTCAAGATGTTTGAACTCAACATAGACCAAGGAATGCAGCTCAATTTCAAACAGTCTGAATCAGCCTCTATTTACAACCAATAGAAAGCTAATTAAATTCCTTTTGCAAACAGGACAAGAACAACAGCCTGACAGACCAAAACCCACAGAGTTTTAGACAAGTTCCAGAAGTGTGTGTGTGTATAAGAGAGCATGCAAGTGCACACCAGTCAGAAGTGTCTATTTCTAAAATGAAGAAACTGATATAAACAGGACTCCCTGGAAGTTGGCAGGAAAAGTCAGAAGAACACTAATGCCAAGTTAGAAATGGTATAGATGGAATAAAGTGCCACTTCCCACGTACTGCGATGCACATTAAAGAAAGCACAGAATCAAACAAGGTAAACAAAACAACTAATCAACAAAATTTCAAAAAGCCTTATGGACTGAAATCCCATGCCTAAATGAGAAGGGCATAACATAACATAACATAACATAACATAACATAACATAACATAACTAACAGCTGTCCAGGACAGCAAGTTGTTACGAATAGTTAAGATGAGAAAATAGAGCAACAATGGGAAATTAGAGGATCCATACATAAGAGAAGTGACCAGATTGAGCTATGTTCTGTAATTTGCTAAAAATCTGTAGCTTTCAAAGAGCCTCTCTATGGAGAGTGATCAAACTACTACTGTAAGAGTTAAGAAAGTGGAAAGAATCTTCCCGATGCTTACTTTTAACAGGGAGGCAACAGAAAGCAGGCAAGCTTTTTCAAGGGATAATTAGATAGGAATGGCTAAAGAAAAAGTGCTTTCCAGTGCCATGGAAACTGTTTCAAGGTATCATTCTACAAAAAGTAAAAGTATACCAATGAAAGTCAACCCTGCTCTCTTCTCACATCCTGGTATTTCCTAGTCCCACCCACCTGTCCTAGTCCCACCCACCTGTGAAGACTTCCTACTTCTGCTGTACTTCAAAGTTCTTCTGCCATTAAGCAAGTTTAGTCCTCAGTGATTTTAACCAGTTTATGCTCTTGTCTGTTTTTTTCTCATTTGGATGCAAGAAGATAGTGTCACAGCATGCAATTAAGTTAATTACTTGCATCTGCACGCTCAATGAAGAAATGACAATACTCCTCCATTTACGAAATTCAGTTTCTTTGTCTCTTCTCTTGTTCAGTAAGGATAAGGCATTTTAAAACAAACTGCTAAGAATAGTACCAACAAATGATGAAAATAGAATTCAACAGAAAATTCTAAGGAATTAACAAATGAACCTGCCAATCTTACCTGTGTTTAACCACTACCACTGTGTTTAGCCTAGCAGTTAAGTCAGTTTTGGTAAAGCTGACATGGGAAGTGAGAAATTGCTTTCAGGGCTTACTTTGCACGGTGTCACCAGATTTAGTGAACCTTTAAAAACAAGGCTTACTAGACACAGAGAGGTGGACAGACAGAAAAGAATTCATTCTAAGATATTTTAGCTCTACAAGTGTGCGACTTGATGCTCCAGAAATCTTTGGAGTCCTTCAGCAATGTTACTTAAACAAACATAACTGTTGTGGATTAAGAGTAAGCTGCTTCTTATGGACTAATAACTGGTTAAAAGAAGAGATCAAACTTGAAAAAGCAGTTTTTGTTCAAAATGGAATTAACCAGTGGAATCCAGACCAATCTATGTTTAGCCCTGTCCAGAATACTTACGAATGATTTTAAGGAAAGTTGGTGAATATGTGTCAAAACCGTCCTATAATTTTAAGTTTATTCTGAATAACCAAAAAAGTGAGTGCAAAGTGCTGCAGATGCATTGGGCATTAATAAGTAGCTGAGAAGTGCCAGAAGTGGAGCAGCAGGAAGGGATAAGGAAGCAAAGGGCTGTAAAGAACTCACATACTGACTACAATTTAAAGCCTCAGTACTATGTGGCTAATTCTCAGAAAGTATCAATCCAATGATCAGCAGCAGTCAACAGACAAGACAATATGCTAAGAATTATTAGGAAAACCATGTAAGGACAGACAGACATCATAACATCACACTTTAATGTGCATGTACTCTTCTGATCATAGTATATATGACCAGAAAGGACAAAGAAAATCATCAAACAATAACTATAAAGATGGGAAAAGGAAAGAAATATCAAAATATGCTAACTTTTTAGTCTGAAGCAAGATTACAGAGATACAAATACATTATAACTGGCACAAGGAATAAATTGTCCACAAGGGAAGAAGTAAGGGGTATCCAGTGAAATTATCTGTCAGAACCTCCAAACAAAAGCAAGTATTGCTTCTCATGTTACACAGTTTAACTGGTTGAACTCTCACAATGCAACATTCCACAGCAGTATGAATTTAAAATACAGCTAGACAAATAGCCAGAAACAAAATCCATTAAGGAACTTAATACAGAT